TTTTAAATAGCACTTGCCAAAGGCCAAGCTCTGTGCTAGGTATTTCTCTGTGCTGTCTCATTTAATTCCCACACCAAGAATTACTGTCCCCATTTTACAGATGTAGAAACTGAAGCTAGAGAAGCTTAGATGACTGTTCTAAATCACATAGAGCTAGCAAGTCTTTCTGAATTTAAGTGATTTACACAACTTGGATTGGGTTTTATTCATATACTGTTATTAGCTGATTTTGCTCTTTTTCCTTCCCACTGGAAGCAGGAGTGGTATCCACTTCCTAAACAACATGCCTATGGAAAATCTGTGAACTTTGATAAATATCGATAGTTAGAAGTTATGATAGCTATGAGTTGTGCTCGACTCAAAGGCAATCAACGGCAACAGTTCTCTTTCACTGATGAAACTACAGAAGCTGAGACTTACGTCCTGGAACTGAATTTAGCTTGAGTAATTATAGACAAACTCTGTCAGATGTTAGAACTCAAGCAATTGAATTTATGGCTAACTTGCACTCTAAACAGACATTTTTCTTCCCCCTGAGTGTATTTACAGTTTCTAAATAATCCTAATTGCCTTTCAGATTTGGAGTTTTGAGCTCTCTTCCCCACTTCATGAACTGAGGGGCCACAAAGGCTGCGTGCGCTGCTCTCTCTTCTCTGCAGACAGTACCCTGCTGGCGACTGGAGATGACAATGGAGAAGTCCGGGTATGATGTATGCTGATGTGAAAACACTGCTCTTCTGTGCTTGGGCTCATAGCATTCTTTGAGACATTCGGGGCCTTTGTTCACTTGACAGGGAAGCACAGTCTGGAGGGTTCTGGCAGGATAAGGCATTCTTTGTTTTGTTTCTCATTAAGCTTTGTACACATTTTATTCATAGTTGTATTCTATAGAGCGGAAAGAATTCAGTTTAGAGTTAGTGTGTGAGGAGGCAATGCCCTAGTTACGTGCAGTTGGTTCTGTGCTCTCAGCCTGAGATGAGTCATCTTAATTCTTGGACTTGGACCAAAGATGGTTTTTAGGAGCAGAATTTGAGGAAAATAATTTTGTAATTATCTAGATTATAAGTGAATAACAAATCCGTCTGTGTTCAGTGCTGAAAAGAATGATCATTTTAGTACTATACTCACTAGGTCATCAGCATTTACAGTGTGGTCTATTGCAGCCCTCGCTGGACTTCTGTCCTATCCAGTTTAACAGAGATTCACTGTCCTGCTAGTGAATGGGTATTTAAGGGCTCCTTTCTGAGATAGAATCTGCACAGTGTTTCAGACAGTCCATGGGAGAAAGATGAGACCCTCTTCTGTCATGAAGATTTATAGCCTCAGAAATCTGAAGGGGAGTTGTCATGAGTCAGAACTGACTTGACAGCTGTGGGTTTGGTTTACATATGAGTGATTAGGCAGTTTAGAAATAGAGAATTTACTAGGCTTTTCAGAAAAAAGTCTTTAGCTTGAGGTCTAAATAATCAACATTTCTATGCCTTTTATATTAATGCCATGTCATCTAAAGTGATAGGGCTACTTTAAGGTAAGGTAAGAAAGTTTATTTTGTTACGAGTTTTCATCTTTGGATAAAAGGACTGTTTATTTGTTATGATAAAGTGGTCATTTTTCAGGAATCTTGATAGAAAAAAGTCTTAAGATTTTGAATGTTTAAAATATTTTCCTCATTGCACTTAAAATACTTTAGGTTTTTATACATCGTTATTTGTGTATAGGTGTGTGTAAGAGAGAGATATTATGTGGATTGTAACAGACTATGGCTGACGTTGAGAAGATTGAGAATCCCAGACACTTAATTATAGTCTTACAAAACTTTTATCTAAACCAAGAAGCTGCTGTCCGAACAGAGCAAGGGAACACTAGTCATGAATTCAAATGTGTGTTAGGGCTATGTCCTTTCTCCATACTTACTCAGTCTGTGTGCAGAGCACATCATTCAAGAAGCTGAACTTTATGAAGAAGAATATGGCATCAGGATCAGAGGAGGACTCATCAACAACCACCTGCATTATAGAGATGCCATAGCCTTGCCTGCTAAGTGAGTCAGACTTGAAACATCTGCTGTAGAAGATTAAAGACTACAGCCTTCAAAATGGATTACATCTCAGCATACGGAAGACACAAATCCTTACCAATGGGCCATTAGGCAATGCCATGATAGATGGAGAAAAGATTTGAATTGTCAGCAAGTTTATCTTTCTTGAATCCACAATCAACACATTTGATACCAGGCAGTCAGGAAATCAAAAGATGTATTGTGTTGGGAAAGTCTGCTGTCAAGGATCTTGCTAAAATACTGAGGAGCAATGACATCAGTTTCAAGACTAAGGGGCATCTGACTCAAGTCATGGTCTTTTTAGTCACTTACTTGCTATGTGTCTAAGAGCTGGACAGTGAATTAGGATGACAGAAAAATTAGTGCCTTTGAGTGTGGTATTGGTAGAAGAGTACTGAATATCCCATGGACTGCCAAAGGAACAAACAGATAGCTCTTGAAGATCAAGTGTACCCTGAGTGCTCCTTGAAGGCAAGGAAACTGTCTCACATCCTTTGGGCATGTTGCTAGGAGAGAGTGTTCCTTGGAAAGGGACATCATGCCTAGAAGGGTGGAGGGTCAGTGAAAGAGAAAGCCCCTCAACCGGGTGGACTGACACAGTGACTGCAGCAGTGGGTTCAAGTGTGTCAGAGATTGTGCGGATTGCACAGGATAGAACAGAATTCAGGTCTGTTGTTCAGAGGGTGGCTTTGAGTTGTATTTGATTCAATGGCCCCTACAGTCAAGCCTTATTTAACTCTTTTTGGTCAATTGTTCCTTTTGATTTCCTTGAATCTTTAGAGAGACGTAGGACTTTTTCCCATCCTATTTATGCCTCTTATTTTGAGATGTACTTCTTTGAAAAATTCAGATACTTAGGCTCATACAAAGGGAACCCTGGTGGCCTAGTGGTGAGAGGCTGTGTTGCAATCCCAAAGGCACACTGTTTGAATTCACCAGTTGCTCCACAGGAGAAAGGTGGACAGTCTCCTCCTGTGTGATTTACTCCTTCTGAAAACCCACTGGAGGGTCAGCTATGAGTCGATTCTACGTGTATTGGCTAAGGAGTGGTGATGCCATTCCAAAGGCAGACCGTTCAAATTCATCCAGTGCTCCTCAAGACAGGCATTCTTCTCCTGTGTGATTTACAGCCTCTGAAAGCCTGCTAGTGTGTCAGTTCCAACTCCATGGCAACTGACATTTTTAAATTTTTGCTGAAAGAGAGTAACACAAGTTAGTGAGTTTATAAGAATCTAGTAAAATAATTTTTGTATCATTTAAAATATATAGGATACCTGTGAACACTGTTGATGGAAATCTTTATTTTTGTTGAGATAATTTGTAAGAGGTGTTTTATATATATATTATATAT